TCTCACCAAGAACAATATGGCTAAGTTTAGAAGCTGTACCTTCCCAAGTTGAATCTTCAGATGAAACCCCAGCCTTGGCTGACCCCCAAATGCAGGCCAGTGAGAGATCAGAAGGCAGATGGTACTCAGCTTAGCTGTGCCTGAGCATCTGACCCGCAGAAACTGTAAGGTGATAAATGTGTCTTGTATTAAGCTGCTACAATATAATTTGTTACACGGTAATAGATAACTAGCACACCGGATACATCAATGATTATCTTAAATGCAAACAATCTGAACACTGTAACTGAAAGACAGAGATTGTCATACTAAATTAAAAGAAGAAACATCCAGCTCTATGCTGCCCAAAAGAACTGTCATTTCCACCTAAAAGTACAGATGGGTTAAAGATAAAAGCTGGGAAAAGCTACATCATGCGATGCTAAACATAAGGAATTCAGAGGGGCTATATTAATATCAAACAAAGATGACTTTAGAAGAAGAATCATTACCAAGGACAGAGGGACACTTCACAATGTAAAAGGATCAATTCATCAAAAACATGTAATAGGACCTCAAAATACATGATGGGGGAAAAAAACAAAAACTGAAAGGAGAAACAAACAAATCCACAACAGTAGTCGGGGTTTTCAACATACCTGTCTGAGTCACTGACAGAACAACTAAAAAGAAAACCAGTAAGGATACGTAAGTCTTGAACAACCTTTATAACTAACTGGACCTAGCTGACCTTGATCTAACATTCCCCTCAAGGCTCCATGAAACATTCATGGTCGTTTAAGAAATGCATATGTTTCCATGAGACAGTACACCTTACATAGTTCCAATGCAATCGGGAAGAAAACAAAAACCAAAGTACCCTTGATTCTTGAACAACCTGGAGGTTAGGGGTGCTGACTCCTGTGCAATGGAAAACCACATATAACTTAAGTCGGCCCTTCGCATCTGTGGATTCCAAACTGAGGATCGAAAATACCTTTCAGTCCACAGTTGGTTGGGTCCATGGATGCAAAACCTGGGGATACAGAGGGCCGACTGCATCTTTACTGAAACAATCAATGCACAGTGGACTCGCACAGCTCTGAAATTCACAATTTAGGACTCAGTTCATGGATTTCTTTAAATTTCAACTTGTTCAGTACTAACTTGATGTGATTGGTAGAAGTTTAAATTCCTTTACCTGGAAAATTCTCTAAATTATATTTATAATATTAATCTTTACATTATATATATAATATAATAATATTTATATTATAATATTTATAATATTAAATAATATTTAGGTGTCCAGATAAAATCTTCTAATTTTTGAAGGTGCGAGCATTTTGTCTGTTGAGGGTTCAGAAAGCATTCAGCAATCAGTTAAGCAGCTACTCACATCTATGCACAAATAAACAAGCACACAACTACACAGCCAGAGATTTCACTGGTTTGTCAGCAAGTTATTTGACCAAATTCCATGTCTTTGAAAAATGAAGGGACTATCTAACAGAAATAGTGAGAGACAGAAAAGTTTATGTTAGGAAAATATTGTATTAGAAAGGTAAGACTTTCTCATACTAAGAGCATGCCTAGTTAAATATCACTTTGTTAATCTTGGCCTGAGAAAAACAATAACATAAACATATATATCTTTTTCATCATGTATGCTTTATACAGCAATCAAGAGCCACACAATTCCTTAGTACATTCAATAACTATTTGTGACCAATTATCAAGCAACTTATCACACCACATTTGTTTCCATTTGATTTTACTAAGAGACCTCTGGCATATCCTGGGTTTCTGACAGGTTATTAGAATATGATAAAACGAGTTTTGTTTTTACTACTAATTTTAAGAGGCTTGGTTGAGATCATGTGTCAATTTATTTGCCTGTGTCCCATTTTTAAATTTGTTCAAAACATGTTATCACCCTACAACAGAATGAGATACCAAATCATAAGCAAGTTTCGATTGTGTAAGGACTCTTCAATAGCTAAAACTTTGTACGTTCATCCAAAAGATTAACTCACTGAAAAGAAACATGCAAAGAAGGAAACCATATAGAATCTTCCAGTAAACCTGACCCTTCAAACGAGGAATGCTGCTTACCTCTGTAATGTCACACATGCCACGCACAGACTTCAGACTGTGACAATCATGAGGCCGCAGCATGAAAGGCCAACCGTCACCCACGGAAGGCCTAATGACCCATTTCCTAAGCTGTCCAGGCTTCAAATCTCTGGGGTTCTGCCCTTCTCACTTATTTTTAGGAGCATATTCTTTTTTTAAAAAAAGCAATGCATAATAACACACAGTAAACTATTTTAAGAGGATGCAAATGAATTGAAAAACAATTTATAGATCCGCCCCCATCCACCGTAACCTTAAAGCATCCTCTAAGCAACGGCCACCACAGCAAGATTTCATAGATGAATACTCTACAGCACTACAATGGTCTGTTTTCAAAAGCTCCAGAGGTCGCTCATTGTGAAACAAGTAATCATATACAAATTTAATAAGTATATGCATATATTTTTTACAAGATCATTTCTCAATTTAGCCCATTTCTTTGTTAAATAATTGGGTTAACAATGAAAAAAATTTAATGTAGAGATATGGTTATGACCTAGATTTCCTGGAATCAAAAAGAATTTAAAAGACAACTGAGAGTAAGAAATTTCTTTCATCCTAACAAATAACTGTTTTATTACTTCAAAATACCAAAAGTCTTCTGTATAGTACTTATCATATACATCGAATGCCTTGAAAGAGTCTCAGCAACTGTTATCTATGATCTTAATCTCTCCAGAACGAGTCCATGAGGAGAAAAATCTACAAATCAGTCCTTGATGACAGAGGGGTTGTTTAGGAGTTTACCAAATGGAATGACCCTGCTGGAATTCCTTCAAGCAGCCTGTGAAAATGTCAGAACGGAGTCTGTTTTGGAGGTCATAGTCCCCAGAGAGCTCTGAGTTTTGGCCTGTTTGTCTTTTCACATGCTTTAATATTTGAAAATCATTCCTTGTAGACACTGACTGATGCCCAGGGAATGTGAGGATTGTGGGAACGGGCAGTACCAACAAGGGAGGCAAACTGCATGGGAAATGGGTGCCTACTTCACTTGCCCTCTCAGCTCTCATCAGATAAGCTGCTCTTCAAATGTTACGAAGGTACATGGCGAGACATTAGGAAATCGCATGTCACTCTGACGTCCTTACAAAGAAACACTTGGGGGAAATGGGGGGCAAAATTACTGGGGCTACCAAAAGAAACACTAAGTTACAAAACACCATGGTGGAGCCCTGAAAAACGATAATTCACCTAGTATGACTGAAATGCTGCATTCTCAAGATATATTATATATACTAATAACGAATAGTTACGGTGTGCCGATGAAATGCCCACATTGTTTTAAATACTTGACTTATATGAACTCATTTATATCCTCATAGCATCCCTAAGCAGCCGGTCCAAGTATGATCCCTGCTTTGCAGATGAGGAAATTGAGGCAAAGGTAAGATATCTAACATGTTCAAGTTCACATAACTAGCACTGTTGTAGCCGGGACCTAGACACACATGGGCGTCCCCTGTGCTTTGGTGGCTCTGACCACTGTGCTCGCTGCCTCTCTCAGGGTACGTTTACATCTAGTATGCAACACCGGGTAACTGCAACATGTACTGAGTACTTAGGACGCGCTAGTTACTACGAGTGTTTTATTCCAGTAACCTCTGAGTACATCTAACGTGGCTCCTATTTATAGATGAGAGAAACGGGCTTTGCATGGCCTGACGCCACATCTAGTGCGACGGAGCCGGCTCTGGGCTTCACTCGGCAGCCGTCCTTTACAACTAGGTTCTTCGTCCTCTCAGCAAGAATCGCCTCTAAATTAATTTTCTGTATATAGTTGAGGGAATTACTTTCAAAGATCCGTGTGTCCAACAAGCTTATGAGAATATACTCCATTTTGAGCTGTCGACATTATACTAGAGGCTTAAAATCTAAGAATTATTTTTAGGTAAGAGACACAAATGTCACTCAATAAATGTTTTGTAACAATAAAAAGTATCCCCATTTCCACTCTTCAATATATATATATATATATATATATATATATATATATATATATATATATATATATATATTTACTACTTTGGGAGAGCTGAGTATTCTGATATGGCAAACTTTTCTTTTATGTAATCCGTGATGTCTGATCAAGTAGTCCACCGAAAGACTCCTTCACTGCTATGTCAGGACCAAGGCCTCTGTCAGAGAGGGTCTACCCGTTTGTAGCTATGAGCCTCACATCTGCAGAGAGCTGACAAACTCTAACAGTTGTTAAGTTTTTAAACTCAACCCACAAGAACCAAAGGCAAGTTATGAATATGGCTTTTTGCTTTTCTTGTTATATCTTTATTAAACAGGTCATAGGTAAAAAATTCAAGTTGGTGAAACAGACACCCAACTATTTAGCATTTTCTTAATGAAAAACAACATGAGTAACCAGAAAAGAACATGAATAATTTGGGCTTAAAAAAAAAAAAAAAAAGCTAAACTACTGTTTTAACTGACAGTCTGATGCTATTATAAAATGTTAACACATACCTGCCAACCTTTGGAAACCATGAATCGGAAGGTACAGCATATTCTAAATGAGACACATTATTTTTGAGGATAACTCAAACTGAGTCAATTTCTCTTCCCTTTTCCGTATTCGGGAAACTCGGACGAGCTGAGCGAGTGGGCACGTATGTGTGACAATACATCTGTGAGGAACGTATTAAACGGCGACAAATCCTCTCTACGGAAAATTCCACCGGTTAACTGAGATGGAAGTTACCTTCCATTCTTTCTGTTTCTGCTGCCCCATGAATAGCACACGGCAAAAGTGACGATGAGATATAAGAACATGGGATGTAATGAGGGAGGGCCGCCAGAGAAAGACACACGGGCTGCAAGCTGCCATGCGGATATTACAATAAGCAGACCGTGACACAGAGAGCTCTGAAACTTACCGGTGCTCAAGGACTGAGTCAGCAGAGGAGGCTGGAGTCCTGACTCCCCAAACACTACACTTCCTGTTGATAACAGTGAGGGCAGCAGGTGAGGGTCACCAACAGCATGGGTTCATTGAAAGGAGTTAGAAAAACACTGGGTATGATATTTACCGATTAGACTGAGTGATTACTGACGACAAACCCAGGAGAAAATTCTAATACAACTCTTATTCCAACATATTTGTCTTGTTGCTGTCACAATAGTACTTTATTACTGATGTCTTAAAATAACAAAGGAAGAAAACTAATCATGGATCACTTTTTTTTTTTCCTCCCAGGTTTAAAGTTATGGTGGAGAGCAGGTATCCAGTATCTATCCCTTCTGTTCCTTCTCAGCCAGAAGAGGTGATTGTGGTTGGACAGCTGGCAGACATAGGAAAAGGAGCCCTGACTTAGTTTTAATGAAGTTTCTCGGCCTAGCACAGGGTCTGATTCAACTATCCAGCTATAAACTATTCAATTCCAAGTAGCCACGAATACTCAGCGAGAGGGCTATTGTTGAATAATATTTACTAACTAATCATTTATATTTTATATATTACCTCTTAAAATTGCTTTCTGAGGAACAGGAAAGACTGGTCAATAATAATAAATTAGCTTAATAAATAATAGTTTCACATTATTCACTGGTCCAGGGCCTAATATAAATCATAGGGTGAACTCTAGTTTTATGAAAATTACCTCAAATAACCGATATAAGAAATAATGTACTTCTATGACACTAGTGACTCTAGAAAAGTTTTGTAAAACTTTTAGGCAAACATTTTTATAAGTTTAAGATAATGTGGTCTCATGCTGGATTAAATTGCTAATTAGTATTATGTTCTAAATCTTACTTTTAATATAAATATGTTAATTGCTGACACTCCAAGAGGACACAACTTAAAGACTGAATACATGACGCAAAATGAGGCTGAAGGGCGTTTTGGAAACTGGAAGCTCCCCTACAGCCAAAGCTTCCACACAACCAAAGCTTGCTGGTGTCGGTGCTCTGTTGCTGCAACTATAAACTGAGACTGTAAGTGAAAGCCGACCGCCTCCCTCTCTCCACACACTCACTGCCCGGGTGTGCCCGCAATGCACTGAAGCAAAGTAATATCCTCAGTGACAGCAGAGCTATCTAAACAAGAGGCACAGAGATGAAAAAAGAAGGTGGGCGGGGTTACAGGTGCTTATTTACCTGGTGAAACAAAACATGCTATTTAATAGGAGGCTTTACAAAGCCCATTGTGAAAGAGCACCACACCTTTAAGCTGCTTACACGGCTTCTTTTTCATTCTGACGGCTCAACAGATTGTCCCAAACACAAACAATATGAGAGCTGCTGCCCCAACTAATCAAGAATTTTCCTGGCAGTTGTCAGGAGGTTCACAGTTGGCTTTTAAACTTCATAATTGTGTTTAGTATAAATCCTAAAGGTTAATTTTCAAAAAATATTGGGATCCGGAAGGATGTTGGTATTAAGGGAGAATATAGCTACCATGTCTTCCAGTGCTTTGGCGAAACCTCAGATGCGTGGCCTTCTGGCCAAGCGTCTGCGAGTTCATATTGTTGGAGCAGTCATTGTTTCCCTGGGGGGTTGCAGCTTTCTATAAGTTTGCTGTGGCTGAACCAAGGAAGAAGACATATGCAGATTTCTACAGAACTTATGATTCCATGAAAGATTTTGAGGAGATGAGGAAGGCTGGTATTTTTCAGAGTGCAAAGTGATTTCGGAGTGTAAAGAATTTGAGTTGATTTCCACGGAAGTTTGTCACTGAGCTGTGTTCCTGAACTATGAAACATGGATATTTGGGCTAAGGGATAGTTTCTCTTGGTAAATAAACAACTAAATGTTGTGGAGAGTATGTCTTTGCTCAGTTATTGATATAACTGTAGGCACTTGCATCAGAATGGGTTAGGGATTTTAGCTGTTTACCTTATGAAGGTAACTTGATTTCAGTATTAAAACTTGCATTATTTTAGGACATTTTTGATTGATGTGACTTTTGTCCACTTTACTAAGATACTTCTAGTTAGTTTCTTGGTCTCGGGATGTTGATTTAAGGGTTCTCCATGAGCCCACGTGATTACTGTATTGTGGGCTCTTAGAAGAGGCAGAGACCGTTGGGCTTACTGTCACTGTTTGGTAGCCTTGCTGATCAACTTCCAGACAGAGGTACCGTATTTGCCGGCGTATAAGACGATTTTTTGGCCCTGAAAAATATGCCTCCAAGTGGGGGGTCGTCTTATACGCCAGGTACACTTCAGATAGACTGCCCATAGTGCTTGCCCCGTGCCATAGTGGCCTCCCGATGCCCGCCCACTTCATTCCACATACCGTTCAGGCATCAGCAGCGCTGCTGGGTGTATGCTCGGCTGTTATGCGATTTTGCTGTTATGCGATTTTACCACACTCGCAAAATTGCACACAGCCGACCATATAACAAACTCTGTATTTTGAGTGGAAATGTTAGGGGGTCGTCTTATACGCCGAGTCGTCTTATACGCCGGCAAATACGGTAGTAATAGATAATTGAAATTTAAGGTTCTTTACTCAGTATTACTGTATTAAAGTATTACTGTATTAAAGAGCATGATAATTGTATATCCATGCAATTTGGAATATGTATCTAGCTGTGTTAGTTACTTATCTGGAATTGCTAATGACTAACAATATGTTACCATTCTGGAAGAGGTCTTAGGGCCTTTCTCCCCTTTATTACTGTTTTTTGTTGTTGTGATCAAAGTGATACCATAGAGAGCTTTACAAATAAAATTTATTTTATCCAAAGCTAAAAAAAAATATATTGGAAACTAAGGAAAATTATATTCAAAGACTATATATTTCTCTCCTAATTTTAACTACTCTTAAGTAACTCCTGAAAGCAGGAAAAGAAATTATCTAAAAGTATCGGAATGTTTATTAATATCTGAGAACATTTTTAAACATTCAAATCCTCAATATGTTAAGAGTAAAGCCAATAATAAGATAATTTTACAGAAAATTATTCATTTCAATTACCTCCACTTGTAGAAAGAGAAAGAAAGAATCCCACAGTTTCATGTCTTGGTTATTTAGCATCTAATTCTTTCCTATTGGTTATTTAGCATCTAATTCTTTCCTATTTACAACACAGAATTTTATGCCTGGTGGTCTATTCCAGAGAAAAGCAGATATTCCCTCTCTCTCTGTCTCCATCGGGCCACCCTCTCTCTCCCTCAGTCTCCATCGGGCCGCACCAGCTGTGCACATTCTAAGGAACGGGGTGTGCTCCAAACGCCATCACCTCTGTGCATTTCCAAACACCTGGACTGACAGTAAGCCTAACAGGTTGAGGATTGGGGAAATGTTTTTGAAGTAAAATGCAAAACAACACCAGCAGTGAACACACGCCATTCACTTTCCATGGTACAAGGCACGTGGTTTTCTTGGGCGGGGTCCGTGGCTAGGTCAAGCGCATCTGACTGTTTGCAAACGAACTGGATCCAATACAAGGAGACGTCTGGTGTGCAACAAACTTTTGAATGAATTATTTTCTCTGTAGCAGGTGATCATGCCAGAATAGAACAAGAGATGGTCTAAAATTGTTCAGAGTGATAAAAATAATGGATGTAAACTCTTAGGGAAAAAAAACTCAAGATGAAATTATAAGCTCAAAACCTAAAACTGCAGGAACTGGTAACCAAAGTTTAAAAGTAAGGATGACATGTAAGTCTGTCCACTTCACTGAGGCCTAAGACTCACTGACCATTTCATAGTAAACACAGCTTCAAACAGCCGGTTCGTATGGGAAGGGAAAGGTGGCGGATTCGTATTTCCCCTCACCTGACACTAATGACTGCTGTGGTCCTGTTCATGTGACTGAGCCTTGTCTTGAGACATACCAAGAAGGACTGAAATGCCAAGCCGTCTCATAAAAGGGGAGTCTGGATGTCACTGCTGGCAGCGACTTAGCAGCTTAAATGCACCACCAGCATACATCAGCCCTGCACATGACCTCAGGAATGCAAAGCGTCTTCATGGTCTCATCCAGGTGGGGGCTCCCGCGAAGGAGCCTGCTCTTTCAGGTACGTCGTCTCCATGTGCTTTGCCTCTCCGTGTTTTCTAACACCGGGCTCGAGCTGCAGCACCTGAGCTTTTCCTATTTGAACAGTGAAAGGCCTGACTGTGCCCTGGAGCGCCTCCCGTTCATCCCCAGTGTTAGCACCTGAAAGGATGTTAATACTGAAACATGAAAAGGGATCTAGTGTACATATGAAATGTCAGGATAATGTTCAATTTCCCTGTGTATGCGCTGTTTTAGTAAAAGTCCACTTTTATGTGTTTCTGTATATACACTTTCTTTTATGAAGGGCTCACTTGTTGGGAAGAATTAATTGCTAAATGGCTGCCTTACTGTTGAGGTGCCACTAACTACAGAGTTATTTTGGCTACATTCGTGAGGAAAGGAAAACCCTAGCTTATCTTTATTAAACGTCTTTCATGTTTACTCCAGTGGTGGGAATATTTTGCCACTCGACTACCACTGCCAACATAAACATTAATCAAAAGTAAGGGGGATCCTGGAATCGTTACTTAAATGTCAACTTTATGTCCCTTGTAAAGTTTATTTATAAACTATATAGTAATACAATCCTTCTACACACTAATCCCAAATTGAAATATCTTCATTTTCCCCCAACAGTAAAAAAAATAATTCTAACAAGTGAAATTCAAATGTGTAGGAATAACAGTAAAACACAATCACCAAGAATATATCTAAATTTGATGATCTCAAAATATCTAAACTGTACTTTGTATTAATTAATTTTGAGGCAAACATCTACATTTTGTGTATGATATGATTTAAACACAGCATTAAGGAGACCTAAAAATTGAAGAATAAACTTGGAAAAATCATTAAGATAAGAAAGTTATGGTTCTTCCGTCTATTTCTGTTTAAAGTGGTTCTACCCTACTCACATAACTGTATCAAAAACCTCGATTTCTGATAGCTGTACAAAGATTCCATTTATGCTGTGGAATGTATATTCAAATTGGGCTAATATATCATAAGCCTGGAATTAGAGTGTATGCCTAAGTGTAAGGGAAGGTTTTTAACTTCCTGAAGTCACATGTTAGAAAAAAAGAGATTGTCTCATATTTGATTCCTACACAGTATCTCATTATGAGCTGTTCTTTCGATTACTTAATATTAAACAAAGAAGTATTTGAGAAAATCGCAGTAGCTTAAAAATCAACTTCATCTGAAGCTAGTTTTAGGATGCTTACAGAAATAATAGAATCCAAAAAAAAAAAAAAGTGGGAGAAAAAAAATCAACACATTATTATTCCCAGGTTATAACCTTAAAATTGAAAAGTGTTAGATGCTGTTACAAAGAAGACTTTCAAAACTGTCTTTAAAAAAGTCGTCAAATACTATTCTCTCAGAAGGAACACAAGTGACAGTTACTAATTCTAGTGAAGTAACTGGGAAGTTAAGGGACAAGATTGGGAAGGTGGCCTACTTTTCGCTTTGTACCCGTTTGTACTATTTACATTGTAAGTCATGTGAATGTATTGGGTTGTTGGAAAAGTCATGACACATTTTTGCAATGAAAAACATAAAGAAAATACGTCATGACTTTTCCAACAACCCAATATTACCTACTCAAAAAAAAGATTAAATTCTAAAACAGAAACTACAGCCCCCAAAAATGTTATAAGCAATCACAGATCAAACATGAGAAATTACATTATAGAGAATATATACAACTATAACACACACACACACACAGAAACTAAAAAAAAAAAAAAGCAAACAAGAAACCCGGCCCCACTGTTTTGTGAACGGTACTTGTGGTTGACACATAAAATCTTCAGTGTCACATTATACATGTATTCAAAAATGCTGTAATCAAACAAAAGAGAGAAATGAAGATGCACCCTGGATTTCAGTGCTAGATGGGATGATGCAAACGGGTTCTACTGATGATACAACACCACCAAGATTCAAGGATTCAGTCTGAGCAAAATGGTTTTATGAAATATGAGTGTGGATAAAGCAATCCTTCTATATTACTGCACTGCTTCATAAAATGTGATTTAAACTGTGTACATGTAACTAAATTAATAAATTAAAACTTTCCCCATTTCATCGACCTCCCTTAAATTTTATGAGGGAAGACTACCTTAGATTTGAGCTCACCTTACATTCAGGCATACATATTCAAGAGAACATTCTAGTGAGAGAATGTGGCAAGCTGGATCAAATTAATGACCACAAAGTATAAACTTTCCCCACACACTTCTCTCCTCTGCTACGTGTAACCACTTTCTTGAGCAATCACACATTACTGCAATGTTATACCCGTTCAATTCATTTTGGGGCAGGTAATCCTTTGACACTACACTGGTCCAAGTATACTGTGTGAATCTGATCACCTTTATCCTGTCTCAGTAAATGTGGTTCTACTCTCTCAGCCACTGTCTAAGATAAAGCTAGGCTCCTAGTTGATGGAAGGTTCTAGAGCTATAACCATCAACCACATCCTCCTGAAGACTTTGACAGCACTTTGCCAAGTGCTGCTCTACACCAAGTAAGCTTCACAAGGGTTGTGCCTAATAACAAGTATCAGATACAAGTATCGGCTATTGTATTGGAAAGGAGAACAAGTTATACTCTAAAGACATGGACTAAAGAACTAAGAATAGCAGCATATATCTTTCACCCATTTTCCTGAATAAGATAAGGCCAATAGTGAAAAGAACTGGGAAATACTCATGTTTTAAGTATTAAAAATAAGTGTATATCGTCTCTATTCATTTATGTTAAATAAAAAACTGGCAGTACTGTTTCCTGGAAATTCTGGGATGCCTCTGTGATCAATGAAAATTCCCTGAATAGATAACAATAAATAGAAAATATTCATTTTGTATACGGCGATGAGCCAGCCAAAGACCAAGAATATGGTCATATCCAATACCCATGAATATAAAAACCACTCGAATGAAAACTTCTTGCTTTCTTAGTGATCATTTGAGATAGCGTAACTTTTGCCAATTTTGAAATTAAGGTGCAACGCATTGGAGATGAGAAAAATGGGAGGCGAATCTATTCAAACCCACAATCTATTTTCCCTAGAACCGGCACAGGAAATGCCATCAAGTGAGAACCGCCACCTCAATGTCATTCTAACATGAAATCTTGTGCTTGTGCCGAAATGTTGAATCTACAGCTGATTGCCAAAGAAAACGTTGCTACCAAGATGCTCACTGAGAAATAAGGAAAGAACTGGAAGCAAAGTGAAATTCTGCCTGTTACTCAAAACCAGCCAGTCCCGTATGAGGTTGTCTCCTCCGTGACAGACTGCCATATGTGACTGGCATGAAAATTACTACCAAAGAGGAATAAACTGGGCTCACAAGGAGGCACATCTGCAAAATAAGGTCCCCGCCACGTGTGTTGGAGGACTCACCATTTTTCCGTTCGTGCAGAGGGGGTAAGTACTGACTGGGCTGCAAGGAGAGTTCCTGGAATTCGTGGGCAACGGCTTCGCTTTGAGGACTTGGCGCGAGATGGGCTAAAGGTCCCAGTTCATCCTCAGTGTCTAAGGCCCCCGTGGGATCCATCGTGTTCCAGCAGCCGGCAACAGGGGGTAAGAGGCACCTCTTAAACGTGGTCTGTTGAAGAGACTGTCAAAAGAAAGAATGTGCAAATAGACGGTACATTAATTATTTTCCAATTTGCACAAAAGCATTACAATGGGCACCTTTGGTTCTAGCTCAACGTTACTGCTGTGTGACAACTGCCAATGCATGTATCCTCTCTGACATCAAGTTCCTTGTCCAACACGCAGGAATAATATACTTCCATTTAAAACAGCACTTACTGCATGAATACAAGTTAAAAGTATTTTGTATAATTTTTTGTACTATGGGTTAAACAAAGTCATAGTTATTGGTGCCATTAAAGATTTTAATGTGTCCTAAAATGAGACAAAAGTCAACGAATGCTGATGAAAATAAAAAAGGAGTCTCGCTGGAAAATCTATCTTAACTCCTACAAATCAAAGAACTTTGCATCAAGTCAACATTCACAGCCTTGAGCAATGTTTCAGACAATGACTCCTCTTCCATTCAGCTGGGGTCTCCCAGTGAGACCGGGGAACAGAGCTCTCAGCTAACCCACAATGGACACCGAATTCATGACAAAAAAAAAATTCATTTTAAGCCACTGGGTTGCTTATCATCACAGTATAACCTGGCCCGTTCTGATTGATATAGAAATTGATAACCCAAGTGCCAAAGACACAACCAAAACCCTAGATACGTGACATGGACTTTAGGGGTTTAGCAGTGGGCAGCAAGAAAACTGTTATTGAAAGCTAGACAGATGTGGTCCATACTATGCTGCAGCAAACATTTGATCAAACCATTGCCTGCTTAGCAGCATTTCATACTAGTTTGCTTCTCCTCCTTTCACCTACGGGGCGCTTCTGAGTTGTTCCCAGGTTTTGACTATTACACATAAAGATGCTATGAACATTCTTGTACAAGTAGGTATATGGATATATATGCTTTCACTTCCCTTGGGTAAAAACCTAGGAGTGAAATGGCTAGATTATATGGCAGCTGCATGTTTAAATTTAAAAGAAACTAACAGTTTTCCAAAGTGGCTGTGCCCGTTTACGTTCTTCCCAGCAGTGAAGGTGAGTTCTAGTGTTCCACATTCTCACCAGCACTGAATTATGGTCCACTGTCTTTATTTTGGTCATTTTAATCGCTGTGTAGCAGTATTTCATTGTGGTTTTAATTTGCATTTCCCTAATTATGTTGAGCATCTTTTAATGTGATTATTTGCTATCTGTATATCTTTGGTTAAGTAGTGGATCAAACCTTTGTTCATTTTTAAAAGTTAGGTGGTTTATCTTCTTCTCATTGTTTTGAGAGTTCTTTCTATATTCTGGACAAAAGTCCTCTATCAGATATGCAATTGGCAAATATTTCCTCCCAGTCTACGACTTATCATTATATGCTCTTAATAGTGTTTTGTAAAGAACAGATGGTTTTAATTTGATGAAGTCCAATTTATCAATTTTTTTCTTGTATGGATTGTTTTTAATGTCATTGCTAAGAAATCTTTGATTAACCCAAGGTCAAAAAGTTTATTTCCTGTTTTCTTTTAGATAGTTTCTAGTTTTTGTTTTACATTTAAATGTATGACCCACTTTGAGTTAATTCTGTATAAGCTATGCGATCTGAATCAAAGTTTTCTGGTTTTGGCAGAAGGACATCTGATTGTCTCAGCACCATTTGTTTAAAAGGTAACCTTTTCTTCACTAATTTGCTTCTACACCTTTGTTGCAAGCCAAGTGACCATTTATAGGCGGATCGATTTCTTAACTCTGTTTAGTTCCCAGAAGGGAGAGAGCCTCAGAGGAGGAGCCCCTAAATTCTATGTAGAAACTCTGTCCAAGTCTCGGGCTGACTCCTAAATGATGCACACGCAGGGCAGACTCCAACAGCCTTGTTAAGGCAAAGAGAATAGAGCTGAGATTTCAGCTGCTGCTCACCACAGGAAAGAGAGGGTTTGCAAAAGTGAGTTCAGCCAAGTTAACTGCCTCTTAAAATAAAACCATACTCTTAAGAGGGAACCTTACAGAATCCAGAATCTCTATAACTGTCCATCCAGAATTCCATATTCAACAGAAATATCCTTTAAGAGTGAAGGCAGAATTGTCACCAGCAGACACATACTATAAGAAATGCTAAAAGAATTTCTTCAGGCTGAAAAGCAATGTTACCAGATAGAAACTTGGATCTTAGGAATGAAAAGCATCCGAAATGGTAAACATGTAGATAAAAACCAAAGACTAATTTTTCCTCTTGATATTTTTAATATGATGATTCAAAGTAAAAATTATAACACTGTATTATGAGGTTTATAATGTATGTATATGTAGTGCATATGACAGTCACAGCATAAAGGATGGGCCAGGGGTGACCATATTATAACATTCTTACATTTCTACACATTTCATTATAAAGAAGTCATACAATTTTAACTTGAAGTAGACTGAGAAGTTAAGATTGTATATTGTAATTCCTAGAGCAACCCTTAAAAAAAAACGAGTATTTTTAGCTAAAATGTCAATAGGGAAATTAAAAAGGAATTCTAAAAAGACTCAACCCAAAAAGAAAGACTAGAGAAACAAAAAAATAGGGAAAACAATAAACACAGCAAAATGGTAGACCTGAATCTAACCTTATCAATAAGTATATTAAATGTAAATGAACTGAACACTATTATTAAAAGACAGAGATCGACAGAATGAATTTTATAAAGTCTGAAAACATTTGCCAATAAGAGACGTACTTTAAATATGAAGATATAAATAGGATGGAAGTAAATGGATAGAAGAAGACAGTCCATGCAAACAAAAAGTCAGGAAGGCTGGAATGACCTCAAAAAGATGTGTTAGGCAGGTGAATATGAAATCAAAATGACTATTTTGCTATGAAACATTAACATATGCCTCCTAGATTGTTTTCAAAACTATGAATTTTCACTTCAAATTATTTAATTCATATAAAATATGTTCACATCAAATTAGCTCTGAGACTAGATACCCTAATGCCCTATAACAGCAAAAGGTACAAACTCTGACATTAGTGCTAATCATTTGGAAGATCCTTTAGGCACAAAATTTTAAAACATTTTCATGCCAAATTATCTGTCCTTCACATTGAAGAATGGTTTCAACCTATTATTCCTTGACATGCTCACCTTAAACTCCCACACATCCCTCTAAATTAAGAAAATAAGCTTAGACAATCTTTATAAAATCTAGCAAATCTATTCTGAAATTCTACCACCAAATTTGCAAGCTGTCACCTAATATATCAACTGCTTGATAATTTTCTTTTGAAATTGAAACCCAACGTCAAACAAAGAAACACTCTCTGTCCACTAGTCTCTAATTGAGCTGTTCAAGAAATGACATTAGAACAGATTTTTTCAATGGGTCATAATTTAGTTGTGAAAATAAAACAATCACTTAGCTTTAGTTAGATAAACTGTGATAAAATATTAATTTGTCTTGAGCTGACAGAATGAATATGAATTTAACATCTTACCTATCTCAACAACATAACTTCATTCCAAAATGAAACTAATCAAACATTTATCCAGCACATGGTCAAAGCACAGCACAACATAGTAATAAAACCGACCTGGGATATGGCTTCTGCTCTCAAAAAACAAACCCCTTCATTATCAGATACTGTGCCAGAGACAGATAATATAATGCAGAAAAAACAAGAGGCATCACATGTTTGTTTGTTCATCTATTGATTCATTGATATCTCTTTTCTGAATGGAGTCAACATAGCCCAGCATCTTGTTAAACATAAGATCATTACTGGTGTTATTAATAGGCTAAGGTAGTCCCCAAATCAGTGCTAACACCTGATTTAAATCGAGCGAGTTCCAAAGGCAAATCTCCATCTACTGTGCCTTATTGCTCATAATGACTAATTCACATGAAATATGAGTAAATAAAGTAGTTTATAATCACTGCTATATCAAAGAAACACTAAATAATAAAGGAATTAAAGAATGTCAATATCTAACTTCAGAAGTTGAATATAAAATAAGCCAATTGCAGATAGGTAGAATATCCAAACATACGCAACAACAAAAAAATGTTTTGCAACACCAAAACTGTTGTCTCTGCCCTTTAAAGCTCCCTTGAATTACAAACATTAAGAAAATACCTAGGGGCTGGCCGAGTTGCTCAGTTGGTTAAGAGCTCGCTCAAGAGTGTGAGCTCTGAGAAACAGGGTTGCCAGTTCGATTCCCAGCACGAGCTAAGCTGCTACTGAGCTGCCAACAGGTGGCAGGAAGGCTCAGCTATAAAAAATAAAATAAAAAAAAAAGAGAGAGAAAATACTTAACAGACAGTAAAAATAAATTTCTAAATTCAAACAAGATAAAACTTGGATTAATAAGCTCAAAGACAAAATTTTCCACACGCACAAAGTAAATGCCTATATTAGAAGGGTGTTTACTGTTATGAGCCATGATCAAACAAGTTGAAAATTTCATATCAAATACACTTTTGAGAAACAGAATTTTGTGTCACTGGGTTAGGTACATTTCTTATGTCAACCCTGGGTCATTTTATGTTATCTGTTCTTCCTCCAAAGCTCCTGGTGACAATTTATTTTCTATTATAAAAACAAACTCTCACACTGTATATATGAGGATATATTCTTAATAAAATTGCTATTTCTGTATTGTCTTCTAAATGAAATTTCTTAAGGGCATCAAGAATTCAGGATCAAATCTGTTTACATTTTTGTATAAATAACATTTATCTCCCAGTTTTCTACTTGAGGGAAAAAAAGAATTTCAGAAAGAAACACTTTATCCAATCTGTCCATATTCGGTTTTAACAATTAGGATGGAACCAGAAAACCAGAGTACTAAAATTACATGTTTCTACATAAATATTTCACTACACACTGCTTTTTCTCAACTCTTATCATAAAAGCATTTTTGTTCCTCTATTTTTTTTCTAATTTAATTCTTGGTTTGATTACTTGAATGCTCTTATATTTAAAAATGATGTATAGGGGCTGGCCGAGTGACGCATTGGTTAAGAGCTGGCTTGGGACGCCAGAAGGCCCC